TTGTTTCAATTCACAAATTGTCCACAAGCCATTTACAATTTGCCCGAATTTCTCATCCAAACTTGCTCATGGAAAAATAAATAAATAAATAAATAAATATTGGTTTATACATTGATCTGGAGTAATTTATTGTAGGAATCTCATTATTAAAATTAAACTGTTTGGATTGGGCTTCTTTGGGCACAGGGTATAATTTCTAAGTGGTTGACCACAACTCTTAGAATTAGATCACTGATGTTTGTGTATATACATTCAAAGTTGTTTTTCAGTTAATAATATCAAAATTTCTTTAAAATTAATTTTTCTAAAATATTTCTGCTAGTCATCTTGTTCCCTAAAGTATTTATGGAAACCAAACAAAGAAATTTCATGAACACATTGGAAGCAATTGTTTCAGTGAATATTTGTGGAGAATAGCTATACTTTCATCCATTAAATTTGGCTATTGTCTGAACCTGATGGTGCATCGTTTGTACACATTTGAATTATGGGTTTTTTAATGGTTTTTTTTTTTTTGGTGAGGCTATTTTCAGGAAAGTCAGAAATCTCCTTCTTTTGGTTCTTTAAAATATGCAAATAAGAGGACATTTTGTCCACTGAATCATTACATTAGGATATAGTAACATTGCCTTTATTACATGCAATAACAAAGGAAAGAGTTCCTTGTGCAGAAGGACAGTGCTGAAACAGCTCCAGCCTTATTATTCATTTGTAATAAGGTAGTGCCTCGCCATTTCCTCGCCAAGCATGTTATCAGTGTCATCCTATATGGAGCAGACCAGAAAACTCTTACTGTCAAAGGCCAGTAAGTCAAGCTATTTTATTCATCCATCTACTGAAAGCTCAGAGGAAGCAAAACTATGTCCATTTATGTATACGTGTTACATGGTTGCTTGTCCATCTGTACACCAATTAGCTGCTTACTATTTTCATACCTTCTAAATCATTAAAATGCTATAATAAAATAACCAAGCAGCCAAATTTCCCCTCAGTGACATATAATTTTTTCCCAGAGAGATGTATACACATCAGAGAATTTCAGCTAACAATAATTTTGCCTTTCATTTGGGTTCAGACAGGGCATTACAAAACAAGGGGTTATCATTAACCAGAATTATCAGATGAGGGCAGTGGAATAGATTTTAAAGGTACAATTTTTAAAGAAGACCACAGATTTCAAATGCTTTGGTTTTTAGATGCCTAAGTCAAGACACTTTGGCTACGTCTACACTGGCCCCTTCTTCGGAAGGGGCATGCTAATTTTGAACTTGGGAATAGGGAAATCCGCGGGGGATTTAAATATCCCCTGCGGGATTTAAATAAACATGGCCACTGCTTTTTTTCTGGCTTGGGGAAAAGCCGGAAAAAAGCGTCTAGACTGGTGCGATCCTCCGGAATAAAGCCTACTTCAAAGTAGGAATAAGAGATCCTCTGGAAAAGGGCTTTATTCCGGAGGATCGCGCCAGTCTAGACGCTTTTTTCCGGCTTTTCCCCAAGCCAGAAAAAAAGCGGTGGCCATGTTTATTTAAATCCCGCCGGGGATATTTAAATCCCCCGCGGATTTCCCTATTCCCAAGTTCAAAATTAGCATGCCCCTTCCGAAGAAGGGGCCAGTGTAGACGTAGCCAAAGTGTCTTGACTTAGGCATCTAAAAACCAAAATTAGAAAAGTGCTCATCATTCACTTCAATGGGATACAATGGTAGATTAGCCACTGAGCCAACAGGCCTCATATCTAGGTGCCTCAGCCAACTGGAGGGGCCCAGAAAAATGGACCTCTCTGCCTGATACTCCTGCCAGAAAGCAGGGTCAGAGCATGGGGAGCTGCTGCTTTCTGTCCACTCACCACTCCTGTCAGGGAGCAAAGTGAAGGCGCCGGGACCTACCCCACTCCCTTACTGGAGTGCCTGGTGAGCAGAGCGTAGCAAGCCCCCCCGTCTCATTCCCACTCTCCAGCCAGAGTGCTGGGTGGGTGCAGTGGGTGTACCCTGACCCTCCTCTCTGGCAGGAGCTGAGGGGCCCACCAAAAGTTAATCCACCCACCTGTGGTGAGATGCATAGAGTTAAGCATAAAAAAAACCACAGGAGACTTTTCAAAATCAGGTCTCACAATGAATCACTAGCAGAACTGGAAAAAGGCACTTTTTCCAGGACAGTCACCTGGGCCTATATGCATGGAAGTTATAGTGAGGCTGCTCCCAGTATATGGAAGAGACAAAGTGGGTGAGGTAATATAAGGTGTTTATGTATCTCTCATTAACAGAAGTTGGTTCATAAAAGATTCTGTCACTCGTATCTCTAATGTGATGCTATAAAGATACAGATGTTGGGTAATTTTTATCTTTCTTTCCAGCTGCAAAGCACCATCCAAAATATAATACAATATCTATACAGTATATGGGTAAAAAATGAGTATGGGCATATAAAAGTGCTTAGAAGTTCAAGGGTAAAAAAAAGGTTAATAAAAATAATATAATGTAATATATAAGACGAGGAAGAGAGAAATGCACTACTTCCTGTGGTACTAGAGGAATAAATAGATGAAAAATAATATAGGAAAATATATTTCCAACATCAGGAAATATTTTGTAGTGCTATCATCTGCTTTTGAGGACACTTTTGGAGGCTCAGGATGTTTTGCTAGTTCAGATAAGCATTGCAGTTTTAATGCAGCTTATTTGAACTAAACCCTGGACCTTTCATCTATTTAAAATGTCACTGTACTATTTTTACATACAGTAAATATGTTCCATAGTACTTATCGTTCTTATCCCTTTTTCAACATTCCAAACTGTTTGTGCTTCTGAGTCAGTTTTCTGATTGTACAGAAGGTGAACATGATGGTTTGTTTTACCATTTAAGTCTTCTCTAGGATTGGATTTGCCATCTGTAGATTTGAAACACTAATTCATAACATCTTTAATTTTAAAATGACTGAAGTGTTTTCCATGAAGAAAAAATTCAATTTTTCTTTTAAAAATTGTCTTCGCTTTTTGGGTTGAGCTGTTTTGGGTCAAATCTGATAAAGTAGCCTGAGATCTTTTATCCTCAGAATGTGAGTGAAAAAGACATTCATATTTGTAGAGTCTTATATGGATAGAAATGTGTAACTGCAGATGTGGATAATCATGGATAGACATTGGGATCCACAGATCTGCAAGGTTCTACTCCCAAGAGCCATTGAGGGGAGGGGAGTGTAGTCCTGTTGGGACTCAGTCTCAGCACCCGATGAGAACAACTCTTCCTGGCAGTACAATTGGACTACCCTGCTGTCAGCCATGACATCTCCTGTCCAGGGTTGTATAGCTGGTAGTGGGGCAGTGAAGCTGTACTGTCAGGAATTGAAGGCTGCTATCAAATACCCCCTCACTCTTCTCTTCTGTAGACTAATAAGCCCAAATCCCTCAGCCTCTCCTTATAAGTCATGTGCTCCAGCCCCCTTATCATTTTTGTTGCCCTCCGCTGGACTTTTTTCAATGTGTCCTCATCCTTTCTTTAATGGGTTGGGGGAGGTGGGGTACAGAATCAGATACAATACTCCAGGTATGGCCTCACTAGTACTGAATAAAAGGGAATAATCACTTTTCTAGATCTGCTGGCAATGCTCCTACTAATGCACCCCAATATGCTATTAACCTTCTTGCCTACTAGGGCACATTGTTGACTCATATACAACTTCTCATGCACTGTAATCCCCAGCTCTTTTTCTGCTGACCTGTTAATTAGCCAGTCCGTACCCAGCGAGTAACAGTGCTTGGGTCTTCTGTCCCAAGTTCAGGATTCTGCACTTGTCCTTGTTTATTTCTTTTGTTCCTTGTCAGATTTCTTTTGGCCCAATCCTCCAATTTGTCTAGGTCACTATGGATCCCATCCCTACCCTCCAAACATGCCTACTTCTCCCCCTAAATTAGTGTCATCTTCAAACTTTCTGAGGGTATGTCTAGACTACAGAGTTTTGTTGGAAAAACAGCCGTTTTTCTGACAAAACTTGAATTACATCCACACTGCAATCGCATTCTTTTGAAAGGAAATCAAAAGAACAGAGGGGTTTTTCTGACAGTGGTACTCCTCTTTCTATGAGGAAGAACGCCTTTTCTGAAAGAGCTCTTTCGGAAAAAGGCGCGTGTGGACGGGGAGAAGGGTTTTCTTTTGAAAGAAGAGGCCTTGAGGAAATAACACAGGCAGAGGCAGATGACTGTTTTGCGGAGCCCCGGGCAGCATAACTCTGCGGGGCCCTCCCCTTTGCCATGGCGCATGCACCGCGACGCCATGCACATGCGCGGTGGCGCCACGGCGCATGCGCGAGGCTTTTTTAAGTGCAGGGCCCGGGACGGCCACCCCGTTCGCCCTGCCCTGTATCCGCCCCTGAACACAGGTGCCCTTGTGGACACGCTATCCAAAGAAATCACAACTCTATAGTTCCTGTCTCCTGGTATCTTTTACAGCTGCAGGCACTCTGGATGAGCCTTGTGGCAGGAAGCCAGCCTTGAAGCAGCACCCTGACCATGTGGCTCTCCCTGCCACAAGCTTGCTCTCTGATGGCACAGCCACAAGCCCCCAGAGACTCTCCAAGCCCTCGAAGAGAGCAGCCCAAGGGGTCCCAGGACCCAGCCAGTGGGACCAAGAGGCAGGTACCCTCCTGGTGTGGAGCAGAGATCCTGTCCCTCCTCGAGCTGTGGGGTGAGGAGGAGACATTGCAGGATCTCCATGCCAAGTGCTGCAACACGGACATCTTTGAGTACATGGCTAAGTCCCTGGTGGAGCATGGACACCCACCCTAGAACTTAGAACAGGTCCAGAGTAAGGTCAAAGAGCTTCTACAGGAATACGTCAGGACCGGAGAGCGCAGCTCATGCTCAGGGGCAGGACCCCACACCTGTCCCTACTATCAGGAGCTTCACCAGTTCCTCAGGGGTGGGGAATCCATTTCCCCACCCTTTGTGGTGGACTCCAGCCTCAAGACCTCTGTCATTGCCCAGCTGGAGTTCACGGAGGGGAGGACCAGGGCCAGCAGGAGGAGAAGGAGGAGACAGACACCATCACCCTGTTCCTGGAGCCAGTGCCTGTGAACCAGAATGTCTCCCAGGCTTCGTCTGATGCTGGGGAGTGATTTTCAGGTGAGTGCTCTCAGTTTGTCACACACACAGGATGGGGGAGGTAGGTGCACAGGGGGTAGGGTGCGAGCATCGCTCGGGCTGCTTGGGCTGGACATCATGCTGCAATCTGTGCATGTGAAACCACGAGCAGCATTAGTATGCGCTACTCGCTCGGGCTGCTTGGGCTGGACATCATGCTGCAATCTGTGCATGTGAAACCACGAGCAGCATTAGTATGTGCTACGTGGACTCAAAAGGCAGCCCCTGAACACGGATGGGATCCTGCTGCCAGGCTCAGGGGAGGCCATGCACGTCGAGCCTGGGGGGGGAGGGGATGTTTGTCGACCCCAGGGAGGGCCAGGCTGCTCCCAGCTCCTCTGCTGCCCATGAGGGGATCATACCGTGGCTGGACACTTCCCTTGCCTGCTGTTCTTGGGGGGGAAGCGAGCAGCATGGTTTCCTGGGAACCTCAGGGCCCCTGTGAGGCACATGGCCTTGCTCCCAGGACATCCTCCTCCTGTAGCCCAAGGACTGTTGGTTGCTGCTCACAGAGGAGGGTCTGCACGGATGATTGACAATATCTTCCTCTTTGTGTTCTCCACTGCCGGACCAGTCAGGACTGAAGAGTTAGCCATGCCACCTGAGCCAGCTGCCAGAGCCCAGGGGCCCAAAAGCACACCCACCTGCTGTCACTGCTCCTGCCTACCACCCTCCTGCCCCCCATGCTATGCCCATTCTCCCTTTCCCTTCCCCCCTCTGCTTCCTCCTCAAACAATGCCCATGCCCTTTCCCCATGTGATGCTTATGCCCCTTCCCTCTGCTCCCTGCCATCCCTGATCCCGCTCCAGCCGCCCCCCATTCCCACTCTCCTGTGGTCCCTGATCCACCCAATCCCAGCTCCAATGAGGTCCCTGCATCTGAGGTGACACATCTAGCCACCCCCCCATGCCACTCCGAGCCCCCTCCTCCTCCAGGTTATGAGCTCCCCTCCCCATCTTCTTTAATGAAAGATCAATACAGACTTTGTTTTGTTGGAAACCAAATAGGTGTTTTTATTGAGAAGTCAGGGAAGGGGCGAAGGGAGGGGCTGTGATGTGGAAGGGATAGGTCAGCAAGCCAGAGGCCCCTGGTGAGAGTTACTGGGGTCCTTGAGAGAACCTCTCCCTCAGAGCCTCTCGGATGCACCCCCTAGCCTGATGAACCTGGCGGATGGCAGCTGTCCACAGCTTCTCGAAGTGTTGCCCCTTGCAGATGGCATCTGCCCCCCACCCTGGGAGGAAGGCCTCCCCGTTCCTCTCCACAATGTTGTGGAGGTCACAACATATCACGATCACCTCAGGGTTGTTGTGCTCCCCAATGTCGAGGTGGGTCAGCAGGTACCTGAACTACATCTTGAGGTGACCGAAGACGCACTCAGCCTGGATCCTGGTCCAGTTCAGGCGGGCATTAAATTGGTCCCTGCTAGGGTATAGGTGTCCAATATTAGACTTCATGAGCCATGGCATGAGGGGGTAGGCCACGTCACCCATGATGCATAATAGCACCAGCATGTCCCCAACTGCTAGTTCATGGTGGGGGGAGAATGTGCCCACCTCCAGCTTCACATACAGGCTAGAGTTTCAAAAGATGTGGGCATTGTGTGCCCTGCCCAACCACCCGACAAAAATGTCTGTGAACTGTCCACGGTCGACCAGGGCCTTCAGCACCATGGAGAAGTAGCCCTTCCTATTAATATACTGGGCTGCTCAATGCTCAGGTTTATAGATCAGTATGTGGATCCCATCTATGACTCCAGCAGTTTGGGAAACCCAGGAGAGCAAATTCAGCCATGATTGGGTCCAGGTCTCCCAGACAGATGACCCTCTGCAGTAGGATCGAGTAGATGGCCCTCACCACCTGCAGAAGGAGACCATAAAACAGAGAATGAGAAAGGGAGTGTCTGAGCCCTTGGGAGGTTCCTCATCCAGTAAGGATCCCACACTTTCTCTGACCACCCTCCAATTGCTAACATGCCCGTAAGAACCTTCTTGTTACCCTTCACATTCCTTACTAGCTACAATTTCAATTATGCTTTGGCCTTTCTGATCATACCCCCTGCAATCTCAAGCAATATATTTATACTTCTCCCTAGTCATCTGTCCAAGTTTCCACTTTTCGCAAGCTTCCTTTTTGTGTTTAAGCTCACCAAAGATTTCACCTTAAGCCAACCTAGTTGCCTGCCATATTTGCTTTTCTTACTGCACATTAGGATAGTTTGTTCCTTCACCTTCAATAAGATTCCTTTAAAATACAGCCAACTCTCCTGGAACCCTGGATTCCTTTCCCCATCCTTCCCCGAGGGAATCAAAGGCTGCTTTTTTAAGTCCAGCTTCTGTATTTTCCCGCTCTCCTTTCTTCCTTTGGTCAGGATCCTTAACTTGACCATCTCATGATTACTGCTTTCCAGGATTGCCCGCCACATCTACTTCCCCTACAAATTCTTCCCTGTTTGTGAGTACAATGGCCCCTGGCTGGTTTCTTCAGCACTTGTACCAAGAAGTTGTCCCCAACATTCTCCAATAAATTCCTTGATTGTCTGTGTACTGCTGTATTGGTCTCCCAAAAGTTGTCAGAGTGATTGAAGTCCCCTGTGAGAACTGGGGCCTGTGATCTGGAAGCTTCTGTTAGTTGTCTGAAGAAACCCTCATCTACCTCCTCCACCTGATCTGGTGGTCTATAGCAGACATCCACCATGACATTACACTTGTTGCTCCTGTATCTAAACTTCACCCAAAGACTCTCAAGAGGCTTTTCTCCCATTTTGTACAGAAGCTCTGTGCAACCATGCTGTTCTCTTACATACAGTGCATCTCCTCCACCTTTTCTCCTCCTCCTGTCTTTTCTGAACAGTTTATACCCTTCCATGACAGTGCTCCAATCATGAGATTCATCCCACAAAGTCAACTGCTTTTCAATGTATAAGTATAATTGGTGGGTACTTTTAAATATCAGGGCATCAAACCCAGTTTTTACTGTATATTACTCAGAATGAAAGCTTCAAAAGAGAAGACAGAAAGACAGAGGGGAGGAGAACAGAGAGAGAGCATCTGATGAGGGCCTAAGCATGGCTCAGAAATTATAGTCATTGAAACAATATTTTGGCATTACAGATAATACATATCTTGTTGAAATTAGTTTACGGTCTCTATCTTGTCCTTTGTGACTCCTTTTGCTGGCAGAATATGAAGTTGTTAATTAAACTAGTCAGTGACTATACATTGTACGTTGATTTACAACATGAAGAGCTACATGAATTCCTTACTTGCTCAGCTCAGCCAATTTCAAAGTGGTTTCTTTTAATCTTCATTTACAGGAATTTCAGTCTTGCTAATATTTATGGCAAGCTGTCTGTTGCAGTGATGGGTTGCAGCACCTTTTGAAAGATGTAATATGGACTTGGCACTCGTAATTTCTAGAGCACAAAATCAATTCAGCAAGGTTAGGCACCCCATAGGTGGCTATGAACTGAACAGTTGTCCTACATTGCAGTATCTATAGCTAGAACATTGGTATTTAGTTCAAAAGAGGTTAGTTTATATAGCTCACTCTTGGTCACAGTCAATACAAAGCTATAGAGCAAAAATCAAGCCTAGAACAAAAAATTCTGCTTAATAATCTTTATTTCCCTTGCTTTAAAAACAATATATGATTCATTAGAATGATCATGTTAACACTGATAGTAACTCTCTTGTTGTCACAAAGTAGCAAGATCTATTTATTTCAGCTGGGAGATCAACAGAATTGCCAGGGCCCTGGGCAAGGTGTGTGTGTGGGGGAGAGAATGGCTCCACGCTTCTGGAAGAGGCGGGTCCTTAGGCAAAGCGGGTGGGGTTGGAGGCTAACCTGCCCTGCCTGCCCTTCTGCACAGACCAGAATGCACCGCTCAGGACTCTGGTGGTGATTTAAAGGACCTGGGGCCACTACTGGTGACTGGGAATGCTGGGCCCTTTTAAATCACTCTACCTTGGGACTGTTTCCCCTTTGCTCCCCTTTTCCTGAACATCAGTCTTTTTTTGAGCTAAATGTCACTGTAATTTTAATTAACTGCTTATATTGAACACATTATACCAGAGCACTTGCCCCTTAAAATTCCTAACACTAAGCTAATTTAATAGATGTTTCCATGATCATTTGCAAATTCCCACATGAATCTTGCCTCCACATCCAGTAATTGTGGTCAGAAAAAGCTTGTTGGGACATTGCACTAGATTTAAATGTTCTGCTTGTATCACATCTGCCACTAGTGAAGCAAATCAAGGCAATTCTGAAACATTAATTTGTTATTTGCTTCTACAAAGAAGCCAAAGTAATAGGATGACATGAATAAATTCAGTTGATAACTGCACCACCATGCTGACATACGGAAGCCACATTAAATTCTATTTCCTTCTATTATTCTTCATCAGGTATATGGCTGCTGTATCCATTATGAACACATAACTCCATTTAAAGATGAACTAAGGAAGCCAAGCACACATTGCATCTAGTCATCTGTTTGTTAAAGAAAATGTAATGGTAAGAGTATACCTTTTCATAAGCTTTGTTTTACTATAGTAGAGATGTCACTTAATTGCTTCTGTTCTTTATGCTGCCACTGTTTAATACATGAATTCTCTTTGAATGGCTGAGCAGTACAATGGTTTGTGAAGGTTAATTTTGAAAATTGATAGGATTTGTTATAGTGATTTGTAACATCATAGATAGATGAAGGAAACAATATCTCATTAGCTGCAATTGTATTTTCATGTTATCATTTTTCCTTACCTATTGTGAAGGGACAGATATAAAAAGGCAAAAAAAGAACCTGCCATTAAATGACTTGGAAAAGAGGAAATAACTGCTTTCAGAACAGGCTAAATGAAGAAAGCTGATGCAGCGCCAGGCTGTTGCATTATGCATCTCTCCAAGATCACCTATCCACATGAAAAAGTTCATACATGAGAGCATTACTGAGCATGTACATATGTGAATAAAATGACATTGTGGATAGTGAAAGATGCCTAGCAGTGAGACACCAGGGTTATGGATGTATTATGTGTGACTAAATAGACAGAATTTATAATAGAATGTGTCAAACATTCACACGGTAACATTTTAAAAACACTTAAGTGAGTTAGGAGCTTTTGAAAATTGGACTTGTGCTCCTAATTCAGGGGTGGGCAAATACTGGCCAGAAGACTGGATCGTCCACTAGGATTAGTTCCTGGCATGTCCCCACCGCTATATAGCCTTGGCATCAACAATCGCAGCTCCCATTGACCACTGATTGCTGTTCCTAGCAATAGTAGCTACTGTAAGCAGTGTCCCGGGGTTAATCCTTGGCTAACTGCTGCTGTGATATTGCCCACCCCCGGAAATATTTCCGTTTCAAGGAAAGATTAATTATCTTGGAAAATTCATACTTAATATATATACTTTGGAGAAAGCGTTGAGAAAACTCCTGGGCTGTGTCTACATTGGCACCCTTTTCCGGAAAAGGGATGCTAATGAGACAAGTCAGAATTGCAAATGCCGCGGGGGATTTAAATATCCCCCGCAGCATTTGCATGAACATGGCTGCTGCTTTTTTCTGGCTAGGGGCTTTGCCGGAGAAAAGTGCCAGTCTAGATGGGATCTTTCGGAAAAAAAAGCCTTTTCCGGAAGATCCCTTATTCCTGATTTTAAGAGGAATAAGGGATCTTCCGGAAAAGGCTTTATTTTCCGAAAGATCCCGTCTAGACTTGCGCTTTTCTCCGGCAAAGCCCCGAGCCAGAAAAAAGCGGCAGCCATGTTCATGCAAATGCCGCGGGGGGGGATTTAAATCCCCCGCAGATTTGCAATTCTGAAGTGTCTAATCTGCATCCCTTTTCCGGAGAGTAAAAGTGAATAGTATTGGAATCCAGAATGGGAGGAATCATGGGAAGGTTTAAAACAACAACTGTTACAGGAACCATTGTGGAAGTTCTATGCCCCAGGAAGGACTGTTAAAATCTCATCAGAGGCTTCACCATGTGGGTTAGGAAATGTGATTTTACAAAGGCAAGAGAATTGTTGGCAGTCAGTGGCATAAGCATTTGTTGGCAGTCAGCGGCATAAACCAGATCCACATAGAAAAGGAGCTTCTAAGGAATATTATTACATCGGTATCTTTAGGGACAGACAGTGGAAGCCCCTGATAGCTCTATTTAGCTAGTTGCTAAATGATAGTACCATGAGTATTCAAAGACTGATGATAAAGCTACAAAAGTATGACTGTGTTCTGACCTACATGCTTGTAAATTCATGTTCACTGCAGATGCACTTTCCAGAGAAGTGGTTCCCACAAAACCTGCCAATACCTTAGAGACATGCAAGATGCAAGAGAGATGCAAGCCTATGTATGCATGACTGTAAAGTCAACTCCCTTAACAGTTAGGCAACTGCAACAAATAAGAGATGAAATGGAGGATGATGAATAACTGGGAAGCCTTAAAGAAGTGATCATTAAAGAATCACCTGAAGAAATAAGCAGTTGCCGTCCAAGCCTAAGAGACTATCGGAACTGCAGACATGAACTGAATGAGACAGATGGGATGATTTTCAAGGGCAGTAAGGTTGTGATTCCAATGATTCTCTGAAAGGAAATGCTACAGAAGATTCATGAGGGTCATTTAGAAATTGAGAAGTGCAAACAACAAGCACGACAGGTGCTATATTGCCATAGATCAATCACAACATCACTAATGAGGTAGCAAACTCTTTTTTCTGCTTGAAAAATCAAGCCATACCAAAAGACAGAGCCACTGAGACATCAAACAGTTCCACTAAGGCCTTATGAGAAGGTCGACACTGACTTATTTACCTGACAATGAAAGGATTATTTAATAGTCACAGATTATTATTCTTGGTATCCAGAAGATTGCCTATTGCACAGGACCAATAGTAAGTCAATGGCAGTTGACATGAAGGGAATCCTTTCTCCAGACATTGTCTTCCAGATAAAGTCTTAAAATAATGGGCCACAATTTTCCAATGTAGATTTCAGGCAATTTGCCACAGATTGGGATTTTCATCAAAATCATCAAGTCCAAATAACCCGCAAGTCAAATGGAATGTGCAAAGGTCTATACAGGCAGTAAAGAACGTTATGAAAAAACCTCAAAACTTTTGACAAAGGGTGATTTGTATAAAAATATGTATTGGTCCACCAAATAACACTTCTGAAGAATGGCTTTTCTCCAGCTGACTTTTTAATGGGAAGAAGGATTAGATCTAATTTACCAGTTACTGAGAATTTGCTGAAATTTCATAAAAATGAAACAATATGAAGATAAAAGAAAATTAGAAGTGGAAGGAGGAATATTATTTTGAGAAATAGACACATGACTCTAATCTCTTCATGCTAGTGATAGAGGAATGCCTGAGGAATCATACCTCTAATACTTTGTTAATTATTTTTTCTTGAAGAGGAACAATGTAGAGGTATGTTTATGAAAGACTGTGATTTGGAGATGCTTCCTCATAAGGGACTGTGTTGTGAGATTGGAAATTTGGGATGTGCCTTGGAAGTGAGTGCTGGAAACAATGCACTGCTGTGTGCAGCAGCTCACCAGAGATGCTCTCAAGTTTGCTTTATTAAAGTTTTATTTCATACTCATTCACTGGTTTGTTATTTCATGAATCCCAAGATTGTTACATAGACAAGGAAATAATTGCCATTTCACAAAAGTTAATGTCTGATTATGTTCTCACTGAAATCAATGGGAAAAATAAGTTTTTCAAATATAAACAGTGTACGAGTTTTTCAGGAGGTTTGAATAGTACAGGCTGGAAGTCCCTGGTCCAGCACCCTCAGGACCTGACTGGTCCTGGATGTGGGATTTACCAGACCAGGGGAGATCATATATGTCTACACTGCTACCAGCTGCCTCCAGCCCTGGCCCAGCCACTGGCCTCCTTGCTGATCCCCCTTGCCACCAGCCTTGTTGCCTTGCTGGTCCTCCCACTTCCTTTCCTGCTATTCTGGGCAGCTCAGCTTCCTGCACACTGGGCACCTGGCCCCATCGGACAGCCCCACTGTGGCACACAGAGCTCCTGGCCCCGATGGGCAGCCCCGTTGCGGTACACTGGTCTCCTGGCCCTGCGAGGCAGCCCTACTGGGTTGTGTGTGGCTGCCCAGATGCGGTGTGCCAGGCAGCCCAGCTGCAGGGAGACAGGCAGCCCATCTGTGGGGAGCCCAACCACCAGCCCTCACCTGAGACTTTCTAGTCCTGGAACATCCGTGGTCCTGCTGGACAATGGAAGTTACCGGACCAGGGAATCCCAGATTACAGAGGTTCAACCTGTAGTGAAAATCTGGAGGAGTAATAATAAGCTGTTTCTGAGCTAGAGGGAAGCAAAAATGTCAAAAATAAGTCAACATTGTAAACTTAATTATTTTTAAATGTACTGTAACTCAACAATGACTTCATCAGTTTTCTGAAGACTTTGCATCAATAGTCTCCTTTTTCTTCAGATTAAATCTGGAAAATTTCCAGTCAAACCAAAGCTATTGGTGGATGAATGTAAGACTATTTAATGGAAGATGTTTGGAATCTGAAGTCCAGAGAATAATCCTGTGTTTGTATGTATTGTAGGAAACATTTTCCCCAATATTAAAAAATCCATTTGCCTAACTATATACATTTACAACATGTCTTCTATAAAAATGAAATTTAAACCAGATCAGAATAGATTAAATCCCGATTTACCTACTGACTTTTTATATGGCCAAATTACTTGTTGAAGTCAATGGGAGCTTGCCTGAGTAAAGACTTCAAAGATTTCCTCCATGCAAGCACATTAAATATCACTTGGCAATAAGGCTAGTCATAGCTAGATAATTCATTCATCCTATCTGAACATACCCCACATGCCTAATGCATATATTTGATTTTGGGGCTAGTAGTAAGCATTACAAATTCAAAATGTGTATATTTTGGCTTTGCACTGGCACACTTTGGCACAGCTCTGAAAACAGAATAGGAAGCTAAACACTCTGTTCTAATCTCAGCATTGATGCCTTTCTACATCATTGTCCAGAGATGTAAAATGTAGAGCTAGTAAAAAACAGGGACACACTTTAGCCTTGTTTAAAGAAATCACAGTGAAGAAATTTTACGTAAAGTCTTAAGTCAATTGGAGTTGAATGTGATCAACACTTTATAGGATTTGTGGCAAATCTTCAGTGATTAGGAATATTTTCTTATGATGTAGATGAGAGATGCTAATAGCATGAAGGAAGGATGTACTCTGTAGCTAATTTATAATAATTTAACAAATTTAATCTACCTCTTTAGCAAAGTTCCATGAATGTCCTACCCAAATGAGAACTGTCTTGAGTGAGATAAAAAACAATCTCTTGCTAATGCTTGTCTGAATATTAGAGCAATTATATTTCTTCCTGTGACAGAAACAATCTTTCTTACAAAGGCTGGCATATAAATGAGACCTCTATTAAAACACATATTATGCTTCTATACTTGAAAGAAGAATGTCATCTTTAAAAGAAAATTAAGTGAAATGTACATCATTAAGTTCTGGTTTGGTTTTGCATTTTAAATTTATTCACTGTATAAAAGTTTGGTTCAGGGATGGAGGAAAGTAAGCCTTTCTCTCAGTTGTAACCTTTGAGAAAACAAATCTGTCACAGTGAATGAACCAATTGGTTTCTCAGCACAACATGTATCCTTGAGGACAAGGTAGCATAATTTTCATTTCAGAACTTTATGGACATTAATTCTGAAGTGTCTATTGAACTTAATTAGTGAAATTATTATGCTTTAGTTTGACTTTTGAAAAATGCCAGTGAATCAAACATTAGGCTTTAGCAAGAACAGTATTAGTCACTGTGAAGGATCACGTGTCTCTTTGTAGCTCATTACATTTTTATCAAGCCTAGATGACAAGATGATAGAAGGACTCTTACATTTCCTATTTTGCCCCAGATTTGATGAGCTATGTTAACGCATTTCCTAAATCACTTTGGGTTGAAGTTAAACACACTACTGTGTGCTTCTCATAGTTGTGAGTAATATTATGCCTGCAATGGAACTATGAAGTGTTGCAGTTACTCTCTGTTCCAGAATTTTAAATACACAATCAAAACTATAACAGAGCAATTAAGAGAAATATACTGATACCAATCTCAATGGGTTAGGATTTTGTAGGTTCATATGTATTGATTGGTTTTAAAGCAATTGCTTATGTTTATGGTGCTTTGGGTGTGTTAGTTATTTGTAATATTTAAATTTACTTCACATGTTCTTGAAGTAAAGGTCAAATAAGATATTTGAACAGTATTCTGAAAAGTGGTCACTACTCATGTCTTGCCCAATTTTAGATGTCCAATTCAATGTGTTTTATTGAGTGCCCAAAAACTAGGGTATTTAGAGGCCAGTTTTGAAAATGTTGGTCCCCCTAACTAATTTAGGGACAACTCCTGCTCCTATGGAATTTGGCAAATAAATCCATATTTGACTTCAACAGACACATGACCACATCAAGTACTTCAAGCACTGGGTGGAAATGAAAGATTTTACAGGGGCTCTATTCATTCGAAGGGATGGAGTAATCTGTAATCAATTACGAGATGATCTCATAGCCTAATTTTCCCTTTGGATATTGTTCATTGGCAATTTTGGTTTATGGCAGTTCTAAACAGACTGCGAGAGTTTGGTAGTCTTCTCTCAGTGAGATTAAAAAAAAGCTCTATAGATTGCAATAGAGGGTAACTACAGTGGGAACATCTACTAGGAAAATAAAATATATTTGATTAATCACAAGGTACAGACTGCTGAAAAACTGTGTCATTGCAGCAAAATGTGTTACCCAGACATGGTCTTTGTTTGCCCTCTTTCAAACTAACTACTGTAGCAATGAGTCATTTTCATTTTCTTCTACTGCACAAGAAGAAAGCAAGATGGTTAATCAGCCAAATCACCCTTCTTTTGAATACAACAATAGATCTAGAAACCAATTAGTAAGGCATCACAAAGCTGTAGTCTGGCAGTAAGTGGGTGCAGAGAAACGTGGCCTGGGAGGACGGCAGATTTTTTCTCCTCCACCAGGTCATTCTGACAGCACCAGCTGTTTTTTGGTTACATTTAAAACATAATGATATTCAGGATGAGGATACACATGCTGTTCTATCGCTGAGAGTGTAAATTAGCTGCTTGCTCACTTCTGACATGCGTGGGTTTTATTTGAAAGGGAACTTTGATTAAACTCCTCTTAACAAAGCAGACTATGTAATAACAGCCCTGTAAAACTGGCTGACCAAACAGAGAGAGAAGATTCATGAGAGGCTATTGAATGGTGTAAAGAGGGGTCTGTTTCAACAAATGCTGAAAAGTAGACACTCCCTGTGAGATGATGTGACAGCCTTATATGCCTGATCCTATGCCCACTGAAATCAGTGAGAGCCAAAAGGGACCATCATGTAATCAAATCTGATTTCCTCTATAACATAGGCCAGCCTATGGTTGCCAGCTGTGTAGTTTTTTTCTGGAAGTCCAGCTGGAAAGGGACCTGACAGAGACCAGTCTGTACTATTGACTGGACATCAGAAGTCTAGTTACCTGAATTAACATCTGCTTCCATTCCACTGCTAGGAGGGTGAGAAGAGCAGCCCAGCTGCTCAGGAACTGCATAGCTGGCGCAGAAAGAGATACTAACAGCCAGCAGAAGGGATCCTGAAGCACATAGGAGCAGGGTTCGTGGCTAGACTGCCCAGGCCCCCTTCACACCCTCTTTTGTGCCTTCCCCACCTTACCCTAGTTACCTCTCCATTCCCCAGAGCATAACTATCCCTCCCCCGTCCTACCCCATTCACTCATCCCTGGAGTGTGTCCCTCCCTCAAATGTTCTGTTCTAATCATGTCACCATCACTAGAGCCCTGTTCAGTTGTCAGGATGAGGGAGATGGAGAGAGCAGTGAGCAATGGATGGGGAAGCAGGGGAGATTCCATTGCTCGGTATCTAGTTTTCAGAAGTAGAAAAGCTGGCCACCCCACCCAGCCAGCACCTGCACACTAAAACCAGCAACTTAGATGCGACCAAAATATTATAATCCATAAGACTCTGTGGGTATGTCTACACTAGCTCATTAATTTGAGCTAGGTAGGCAAATCAGGCAACTGGAGTTGTAAATAAAGCCCAGGATATAAATATCCTGGGCTTTATTTGCATGTTCCCGTCTGGCCGCCTTTTTAAATCCCCCTTAGTTTGAACAAACTGCCCGCGGCTACATGTGGCAGTTTAAAGTTAATCCTTAAGGAATCAGTTCGGATTAACTTTAAACTGCTGCATGTAGCCGCGGGCAGTTCGTTCGAACTAAGGGGGATTTAAAAATGGTGGCCGGACGGGAACATGCAAATAGAGCCTTAACTTTAAACTGCTGCATGTAGCCGTGGGCAGTTCGTTCGAACTAAGGGGGATTTAAAAAGGCGGCCGGACGGGAACATGCAATAAAGCCCGGGATATTTGAATCCCGGGCTTCATTTGCAACTCCAGTTGCCTGATTTGCCTACCTAGCTTGAATTAACGAGCT